AGAGGGCGCCACCGAATTTTGAGGACACTTTTTTAATTGTCTCAAAGAGAGAAGTGGCCCCTCTTGTTATAGTAGACTCTTTGGTGATATGGATGAATGGATAGGCTCTTCTCCATTGCACACAGAAGTCGTGAGTTTGATTCCCGCGTGGGGCAGTTTTTTTAAGCAGGTATCTCTGTCTGTCTGCTGGATAGTTGTCTTCTACTAGGCGATGCTTAGCCTTGACAGGCAGGGTTAAAACAACGTATTCTACTTGCGCTGGTTGGCCTTGAAGTTGACATGCAGGATCGAAGCAGCCTGTCTGATTGATGATCCGAATTTTGTCGACTGGGGAGTAAAACATATTAAATGTCATCTACAGTTGGTACCAGGGGACACTACTCTGACCGTGCTGCCTAACGAAGCGCCGACCACCACCCTGACCGTGCCTGGAGGAGGCTACACCGTCACTGACACACAAATCCAGAAGATTACCAGTAAGTAGCATCTCAGAGGTTCATTGTTCATTGTTCATTGTTTCAGGAAGCAACGTCCCTGCTTTCTGGACAGGTCCATTGATGCTCCGTTGCTCTCTCCAAAATGTCGCCGAGGGTCTTTCTACTGATTGTGTCAGTGCATATCTGGTTGAACGTTCTTCTGTTCTTTCCTGCGAGGATGCCAGATTTTCCGCTTCCTTTTTGTATTCCCAAAAGCATCATACTCTCCACAGCAGTACTGTCCTCTGCCTCCCTATCTTCCTCCTCAATCAGCTGGCGAGAGAAACATTTAAGGATCTCGACCCTGTCTGGTTGAACCTCTGAGTCTCAGAGGTACTCTTTAATATTTCTCTCGTGTAATTTTGAAGGTAAACTTTCTTTTCTTGTCTCATACAAATGACTGCACGAGGCTACCAATTTCCATTGTATTCAGCAGGCAGTTACCTTTGAGAGGGTTTTCTGGGAAATTTAAAACATGGCTTGTGACTTTATGTGTTGGTGGGAAGTATTTATTTTGCCACCAGTAAGTAGAATTATAATATCAGTTTTAAAAAATAAGCTGGTCACTAACATTTCATGCAAGAGACATGTAATAAATTCTAAAATTAGGGGTGCTACTTTTAAGATTTCAAAAAGTCTACAAACCGTAAACGACGCATTTTTTGTTTTTGCTGTTTAACATACCCATACACACGTACACTATTTCCACAATGATATGTACATAATCTTAATTAATGTGTATCTTTTATTACAAAGCCTTGGCAATGCATTTTAAAACTCTGTTTTACTTTCTTTAACGCTGGAATGGGATTCTCTTTTCCAACTTCTTCAGTTTTGACATTAAGACTCAGCATCTGTCAGCATCTCCATTCCAGTATGTTTTTTCCCCTGTAAAGTCAGTAGTGTATGGAATCAACCCTGTGTGTTTCAGACCGTTGTGTGAAGGACAACAAGGCATACAAGCAAGGTGAAACCTGGCAAGAGGGCTGTGACATCACATGCGAGTGTATTGAGGAGGCCACAGGATTCTACCAGTGTACTCACAAGTAAGGAATGAAACAAAAGCAAAATAAGGGCGAAAAAAACACCCCCCCCAAAAAAAAAAAAAAAAAGAAAAAAGAAAAAAAGAAAAGGAAAGTAGAAAAGGCAACCTGGAAAATATTATTTTTCATAATGCTGTACATGTATAACAATCATACAAGGGTCATTCCATGAAAAGTGATACACAATGCAGGTAACCTTCAGAAGGAAATCCAAGCAATAAGACAGCCATTCTTCATTTTATTGTGCGTTAGCAGTGTGTTGTGCCTAACAACAACAACAACAACAAAAAGAATAAAGAATTGCTCTATCACTGCTTTGAATTTTTTCCACGTTGAGTGTGTCACTTTTCATGGAATGGCCCACAAACTCAAATGGAAGACAAACTGTTCATACATGAGGAAACTCCCCAAGAGATTAAGAGACTTCAGAGGCCAGGTCAGTCAGCCATGGATATAATGTTCATATGTTCATTCTCGAAAAACTCTTTCCCACATAAGCTCGTTATTGAAGTGTATTCCTTGGACACAATTGATGTGTCTTGATCAGAAATTCTTGCGATTCCATGCATTTCCAGGAAAGATGGCAAATCAAAATCTCAAACACATAATTTGTTATCAAGGTCAAAAAGTAAAACCCCCCACAAATCTCTGGTTTTTCCAATTCCAACCTTGATCAGAAGTATACCGTGAGACTTCAAATTTTTTGGCATTGTTTGAAAGTCTAGATGTTTCAAATTTCTCACCAGTGAAAATATTCGAAAATGAATAACTCACTTCATATCTGGAGCAATAAGAAGGCAAATGCAAACCAAATTCCCATCAAGGACTAAATTGGAAAATCCCCCTTCCCCTCTCTCTTGTCAGATGCCCTATTTACGACAACGCAAAGGCCGGCTGTGTGCTCACCATCATCCCTGGCCAGTGCTGCAAACGACTCATCTGCAATGACCCTGACACGGGACTCACCTTTGACCCTATCCTCCACCCGAGAGATGATTACATCGTGTACGGCCGGTACCCCGAAGGATTCTCTGGCTTTAGACCATACTACGTGCCCTCTGGAGTCTCCACTTCCTTTAGTAAGTTCTGATGACAGAATGCAAAAGAATGCAGCACTCGTAAACTTGGTGTTTTTGTTCACTTTTTGTTGCAATAGTTGACTGCTCCACATGACACAAACAGGCCGTCTTGGAGGTGGTCAGCTGAGATTAGTGATAACAGTAATATGAAGGGGTATAAACCGAAAAAACACCACACACTGAGGTGATATTATAAGATAAATGTCTTGTCTAGACATAGATGTAAAAATACATGCGGTCGTAGACTCCAACCAGGCAGAAACTGGGTGTGTTCTCTTCGTTTTTCTCCCTGGAATTTCCTCAATGATAACCTAGGTGATGAGGAAAACAAATCTGCGACTTACAGCCTACAGCCTTGTTTTCATTTCTAGTGAGGGAAGAGTGTCAGAGTTGGTGTCAGGTGTTATAATTTGTTAGGCAGCGTGGTGGAATCAGGCTCTCGTCAAAATAATCAAAGTGAAGAAACTTGCATTTTTCCACGGGTTTGTGAATTTTTATCAAAATTTTGTTTTTTGGCTCAACACCTTTCATGCCCATTAAAAAACTCATTTCTGTGGGTATGTTTCTGCAAAACGTTGATTAAATGCACAAAAAATGTAAATTTTCAGTTACCACGGACTCTTAAGCTAAGGAAATAACTAATCTTTGGCGGCCATTTTCTCTCTAATTTTACCTCTGAAAACAGGTGACCCCCACCTCCTTCATTTGCAAATATTTCGACCTCTATTCAAGATAAAGGGATATTGTTTTCATCTAAATAAAGACAAGTGAACAAGCTTTAAGATGATACAAATAACTCTGTATGCCTAAAAATTGACGAGAGCCTGATTCCACCATGCTGCCTCACATTTACTTTTACTTCTGTTAAGCTCAAAAGAATTTGAATTCTAGAATACTGCTGAGTACAGAAGCTGAACAAATGGATGACCATTGTTATTGAAAAGTGTGAACAGGAAAGAGTGAACATGCTTTGTGTGCTTCTCATGTGCTTGGTGTTTTATGCATATTGTGTCAGCCTCTTAAATAACCTGACAATGTTGATAGGGGCGTTAAACCTATACCATTTCACCATTTCACCATTTCACCATTTCACCATTTCACCATTTCACCTTTTATGTGTCTGTGTGCTCCCCAGTGGGCTGCTACTTCAACGGCAAGGTGTATGCTGAAGGCCAGTCATGGCAGGACAAATGCAACTACGAGTGCACCTGTCTGGACGGCCATAAACACACCATGCAGTGCAAGTCCATGTGAGTTGGTTTTCTCTTAGCATTGGATGGTTGGAGGATACTTTGGTGTTGTTTTCTCCTACTACTTCCTTTCAGTTGTACCTGTTCTAATAATGAGTGATGGGATAAGCTCAGGATAATAGTTTTTTGAGTAAAGAAATGAGTGGTGAACCATAATTGCCGATGCCAGTTTAAGATCTTGCACTTGAAGAAAAAAGTTATAATGATCTGTTCCTACTTTAAAATTTTTTTTTTTATTCTTGTTGTTATTGCTTTTATTGTTAAAAGTAATTAAGCACTCTCAAGCTTTGTACGCTTTTTCTCTCTACCTTCAAGTAGGGAAGAAGAGTAAGGTTTTATGAATATGTTTTAGGGATGGTCTGGGCGTTATATGACTAGCTATTTTTTTCTGTTGTCATTCATAGGTGTTACAGCTACAACGATGAACAGTTTTATAAAGTTTTTGTTCGGCTTTGTGACTTGTTTGTTCTATTATCGTTCACATGAGCTACAACTACAAAGATGAAGCATTTTCTGAAGTCTTAACATCTCTATGACTTGTTTATTTCGTTGTCGTTCACAGGTGCTACAGCTGCAAAGGTGAAAATAACGTTTTATAAAGTGTTAACTACTCTGTGACTCATCTATATCATCGTTGTTCACAGGTGTAACATGAACAATGTAACATTAATTTTATAAAGTGTTTCCTGCTCTTTGACTTGTTTGTTTCGTCGTCTTTGTTCCCAGGTGCTACAGCTACAGCCACATCCCCAGCGCCTGCACGCTGAGCGCCAGCAACAACCACTGTTGCCAGGAAGTACTGTGCCCCACCAGTCTGGGAGGTATCACCCCGACCCCTGTGATGCGACCCGGTTTGAACATCAGCGAGGGTAACTGCGTGGACACTATCAGTAATTGCGAGGACTACACAGTCGAGGCGTGTGGGCCAAACTATGCAGTGTGGGCCAAGAAATACTGCCCACGATTCTGTGGCCTTTGTCGTAAGGATTATTGATGACAATTTTTTAGATTGCTGGTTTGTAAATCTGTGGAGTTTGTTGTTAGGGTTTTGTTTGAGGCAATCTTTTAAATTACAGAGCGTAAGTGAACGAATGGATTTGTAGATGTGTGAACTGACTTGTGTGTTATGATCAGTAGTCTGTGACGGAATACATGTACCGCACACAATTGTATTTCTTTTTTTTCATAAGAGTTTTAAATGAGTGGATTTTACTTATTAATAATCATTAACAGTTTGAATAAATGAGGGAGTGGAGTGTGCGAACTGAACTATGTTGTATGGTTAGCAGTTATGTTGACTTCATTGTAAAGGTTTTAGTTTTCTCAACAAACTTTTTTGTACTGCATGCGGACTTAGAGAGGAAATGAAAAAGAAAAGATATGAACTGAGCTGTGCTATATGGCAAGTAACAAAAATGATGTGCATGGTTTAGTAGGCTTTTGCGGTAAGGGTATGATGCATAGATTTCTTTTTGTATGTGAAAGGGGAGTTGGAGTTACGAGATGAAACAGTGTGAACCAATTTGTGAAACTTGGTTGAAAAAGTATCAAAGGACAAATATTTTGTGCCGGAAGCACATTAGTTTTATAGGTGGAGTTTTACTAATGCGTAAGAACAAAGTGAAAAGGGCAGTAAGTGTGTGCGTATACTGTGAGGTCCAAAAAGTAATGACACCTCTGTTAGGAGAGATTCATTATTGAAATGTTAAAATTATACACTACTAGAACAGGAGAGCTAAAGTTTGAATATATATGGATGGATGAGAAGTTGTCTAGATAGTACTATGTGGTACAAGACACAATTTCCTATAAATATATAGCTTTCTGTTCTGCTTCTGTTGCAATAGATTAGGCCTCTCATCTCTCTCCCCCAAACCCAACACGCCCCCCCCCCCTTTTAAAAAAAGACAGAAAGAATATTGCTCATCCATGCGTTAAAGATATGAACTAGCCCCTACTTTGTACTCTTTATATTCTCAATGATTTATTTTGTTCCTCTTTCCTCTCACAGCTAATGCACCTCTCCAAGTTCTCACGTGCGTTGATAGAGAAAAGAACTGTAATGCGTATGGACAAGCTGCGTGCAGCTCTCCCGATACCAAGATGTGGATGCACAGAAACTGCTACAGGACTTGCGGTTATTGTAGTAAGTAGCCAACCGGGTACCGTTAGAGCAGAGACCTAGGAATGTTAACTAGAGGTTGTTACACTGTGGCCGTCTGGGTTATCACACTTTCTCAAGCATAGTCAAAAGTTAGTTAACTTGTGGTGCTGGGGGTCTAGTGGTTAGGCTCTTGTATTCTCAACCATAAGGTTGTGGATTCAAATCCGGCTAGGTGGGTGGTTGGCAGGTGCTCTGGTTTGGTTTGTTCCTTTTTTTCCTATCAAACATCCATCGTCTTTATCTCTCCCCCTTCTTTTCTATGTTTGTTACTCTCTTGTGACACCTCTAATCTTCGGCACTTACGTGGCCTTATTGTGTTGCAAGTGCCGTAAATCTCTTACTTAAACTAAAAATACCGCCAGGGGCTTGATGTGGTGTCCTTGGGAAAGACACTTTTTGGGACTAATTTTCCTTACTTTACCCCGTGGGAATGGGTACTTGGCTATAGACTATGAAAGGTCTTGACAGTTTGTTAGTGTTTGAAAACATGTAACCTGCGGCTTGTACGAATACAGTAAAAAATGCTTATCTTTACTCATACTCATCATTGTGGGTGATTGGCAGGTCCTCAAGAGTGGTTTGCTCCCTTTTTTCTATTGAACGTCTATCATCCTTATTTTGCCTTCTTCTTTTGTTTGTTTGTTACTCTCTAGTAACGCTTCTAATCTTCGGCACAACTCTGACCTATTTGTGTCGCAAGTGCCGTAAAATTCTTACAAAAACTAAAACTAAACTAAACTCAAACTTGAACAGATAGCTGCCAGGATGTGGACGACGCATGTGGTCAACTGAACCACTTGACCTGTACCGGCGTCTGGGCTCCCTGGGCCAGGCAGATGTGTGCCAAGACTTGCAACTATTGCTCCTGTGAGTACTGTGAAGTTTGCGTCTTTTTAGACATTTTATCAGAAGATATCTATTTATGTGAAATATTACCTTGGTGGAATCAGGCGCTTGCCGAAATAATTAAATCAAATATACCTATATATTTCAGTCATTTTGGCAATATTTATCGAGGATTTTTTTTTGGCTTAACACTTTTAACGTCTATTTAAAAACACATTTTTAACTTTCCAAGGACTCTCATGCTATGGAAGTCACCTAACTCTGGTGGCCATTTTCTCACTAACATTTCCTAATAATCCAAGTGACCCCTACTTCCTTCAATCACCATTATCTCGACGTCTATTCTAGATAGATGAGTATTTTGTTTCTTCAAAATGAAGATAAATAAACAAACTTTCAAACGATACCAATAATTCTTCCATGTGCCTAAAATTTGACAAACGCCTGATTCCACCACGTCGTGACACACCTAAGTGACAATATTAGATCTACACCGTCTGCCAGCTGTTCAGATGTACTATACCCAAAATTTGAATTTTAAAAAGGTTACTTTTAGCTTCTCAGTTTATGGTAATAGTTGCATAAGCTCGAGAAATATTTTGTAAAAATTCAAATAGTAAATGTTTTAAAAAGCTAGAAAAGCTAGAATGTACAAAAAATAGGTACAGCTGTTAAATAAAGGCAAGAGTTTTTCTCTCTTCTGAAAAAACAATTGCTTTCTGAGCTAAGAACAGTTCAACAGCTTGGGGATGAAATGTTGATTGTTAGAAATGACACAATTTAGGCTATATATAAAGAGACGGGATATCTCTGAATTTATATCTTTTTTGCGTGCAGATGCTTTGCTTTTTTACTCTACTTTTCTGTGGAACTATTATAATACATAACATAACAATGAAGCCCATTATTTCACTAAAATATCAATGTCATTTTGGCAGTACAAAGCAAAACTTGCACTGTTATGTTTTATGGGCTGAGACTTATAATGGAAAAGTGGGTGGTTGGTGGGCACCACTTGCACGTCCGACTTTTCCCTTTTCCTCTGCTACCTTTGTCTGTTTATCTATTGCCTTTTCCCTGCATTTAATTGCTATTTTTTATGTCGATGAGCTTCTTTTACTTAAACAAAGACTTGTGAAATAAAGATAGTTATGCAGACGTTGAGATGTGTATCTGGTCTGTAAACCCTTGACCTTTAAACTCTGACCCCTCTGACCTCCCGACCCATCCAGCTGGCAGTAGCAGCTCAACAACCGGTACCACGGGATCTGCAGCAGTGCCCAGTGGTGAGTCAACTCTTCTTTGAGTTTTTGTTGATCAGACTTTTTCTCTTTGATCCATGCTCCGGATGTGGAGTAAGGGTGTTGCATTTCTATTTTGAAATTATGTTTGCATTTAATTTAAGGGGACCTGTGATTAAAATAATATCCCTTAGCTTTTGTCATCATGCAAAAATTTAAAGTGATGCTTCAACAAGACTTGGACTTTATAAAAATAGTGTCACTTTTTTTTCTTTTTTTAAGTAGATGTTTTACGCCCCCGTCGATACAGTTTAGATCAATTTGGAGGCAGGTTTCAAGGACCAACCTGAGCTGAATGATATAATACAACGTGCTAGCAGAAACATCAAGATACTCAATAAAAAGTTTCCTCTCACAAGAATGAAACTTGGGTTTTCTGCACACATTTGTAAAGCGCTTAATGATCACACAACACACACAGGTCAATATCATTATATTAACAGGATACTAGAAATATGTGTTCAACAATATTGCTTTAACAGAATTCTCTTGAAAGTATCATATCTACTAGTATACTGAATTCAGATAACGTAATGTCACCTTAAACTTAGACGTTAATACAATGCTGCACTCATTCTTCCTTTTTTCTGATTTTGTCGACTGCAGCTTAGATCTAATTCTTTTTCTAACTTTGTTAACTGTAACTTTTTCTTCCCATTCTTCTTTTACTTTTTCTTGTATTTTTGTTTTGTTTTTCTAAGTTTATCAATTGTAACTTCTTCTTCTTTTTCTTCTTCTTCTTCTTCTTCTTCTTCTTCTTCTTCTTCTTCTTCCTTTGCTTGCTTTTCATAAATGATTTATACTTTTCTTTCCTTTATTGCTATCAGTTGTACTTTTCCCTTCCTTTTCTTTAAATGTTGTCAGCCGTAACATATTGTTCTATCTTTAGCAACAGTAAATGTGACGTCTGTTTCCTCCTCAGGCTGGATGCTGCTGATGAAGGGCGTGTCAGGTGTACCGGGGGACCTCTACTCCCTGTGGAGCCAGACCGGCGGCTTGAACGAGGACCAAGCTCTGGCCAAGGTCCTCACTAACCAGTACCTGGGACATTATAAGTCTTCCTTGGCCGACAGTTTCGGGTCCTGTGACTTTTCGAAGGTAAAGAGAACAGTTGTGGAGATTTGAAACATTGCATTCTCTGAGTATTTTATGTGTTTTTTTTATTCTGCTCAAGTTGGAATACACTGTCAAATGGGTTGAATTTGACTTTTTAAAAAGCTAGATCTCTATTGAAACGTATGTATTGATGCTGTCTCTGTCTGGAGTGCTACTTTCATCGTACTACAGTCCACCATCGTCTTCTTCTTAAGATTTTTTGTCAACATCTGCTATGTGGAGGATGGAGTTAAAATTGTAGAGTATCTTCTGTCTATGTAAATATTTTAAACAGTATTTATCTTTCCAAAAGTCTCATCCTTTCTGCGACCTTTTACTGAGGTTTGTGTGTCTGCTTCAATTGTTTCACTTATCCCCGTGTAAAGGCATACACAACATTGGTAGTGATGGAAGAAAGTTTGCTCAAAGGATGTGCAGTTTATTTGTGGAGAAGAGGACGGAGATGGGCTGTCTTAGGAGCAGGGATAAAATGAATAACTACATTTCTATATATTGTGTGTGTGGTGCAAATCGTTACATTTCACTCTTGTGTTTGTATCGTTTTTTTATGCCCCTTTAGATACAAATAGAAACATTTCTATATATTTTGATAGATTAAAAGCTTCGTTAGACACCAATAGACACATTCCCATATCTTTATGTGTGGGTTTAATGTTCAGTTAGACACAAAATATACATTTCCATATTGCTTTATTCCTTAGTTAGACAAAAATATATACATTTTGGTAGATTTTTTGCAAGAGTTTAATGCCTATTTAGGCTCATATAATACATTTCAATAAGCCCCCATCTACTATCTGCCCATTTGTCAGATCCGTGTGGGCGTCTACAACAACGGTGTTGAGCGTGGTTACGTCATCTTCAATGCCCACGGAGCCACCAAGCAGAACGTGTTTGACCCCAGCAGGATTCTCTCCAGCACCTGGAACGACGTCCGCTCCTCCAGCAGTCACTTCTCCCTGCCCAAGTAAGTCTTCCTCGTTTTTTTTTTCTTTTCTTCTTCTTCTCCTTGTTCTTCATCTTCCTATTTTTCTTCCTTCTTTTGTTCCTTATCCTATTCTTTTTCTTCTTCTCCTTGTTCTCCATCTTTCTCTTTTTCTTCGTCATCTTGTTCTTCATCTTCTTATTTCTTTCCCCTCTTTTCTTCCTTGTCTTCTTTTTCTTCTTCGTCTTGTTCTTTATCTCCTCCTTCTCTTCCTCTTTCCACTCTTCCGTCTGCTAGTGGATAGGTAGTTCTTTTTCTCGACCACATCACAATTGAAGACCGGTACATGTATCTATTTTATACTGGGTCATCCTGCTTAGTTATAGTTACTCTGTTGACCTACGCTTTGTGTGTCCTTGACGGGTAGTTGACTGTACGTTGTTTTAGTTTCTATATGTACTGTCCTGTTTTCAACATTTTTTTCTACACTTTAAAGACTCTGTCCAAGACCTCCACCTGTTTACTTACTTTACTTTACTTTTCCGATCCAGCGGCCTTTGGGTTCTAGCTCTTCGGTCTGATCCACATGTTTAAAACAAGCACTTTCCACCTCGACAGTGGATGGCTGTCGTTGAAACTTTCTACTGTATGAATATATAATTCTCATAATACTTTATCAAACGAGGAATTCACATCTTTTCCTCTACAATGTGGATACTTTGATGTGTTTCCCCAGGAGCTCTACCACCGGACGTGAGTTCAGCCTGGGAAAAAGTCAGTCTTCATGCAGCGGTCAGGGCTGGCTCTTTGTGTCCACCTCCAGCTCCTGTAGTTACGAGTCAGGCGCCAACTCTTTCTACTTCTCCCCCAGCACCGGCGCTGTGGAGTACAGTGAGTCGACTTATCAATTAGACTTGTGCCAGTCAAACTTTTTTTATAACCAGCGCCTACTTTTGTCACATTTAAGAGGTTAAAATTTTCATACTGCCCCCACCTGCAGGTATTTTTTATTAGGGCATTGAATTACACCTATCGCTACCCTTTGTACTCAAACTCAAATGACTTTTGTGTCGATGTGCTTCTCTTTACACTCAAACTCAAATAGTTGTTCTCATGTTGACCCCCATTACACACCCACACTCAAATGACTGTTCTCATGCTAATGTGCTTCTCTTTGCACCCAAGCTCAATGTGTTTTACTTCCCTTCACACTCAAGCCCAAATGAATGTTCCTCTGCCAATGTGCTTCTTTCTGTACATTCAATCTCCAAATGACTGTCCTCTTGTTGTTGTGCGTATTTCCAACTAAAAAGAAATCTCGTTTCTTTTTTTTTCCCCAGAGGACATGGTCCAGGGTGACGTGATCGCCGTGATGGCTCAGGGCGGATCATGTGAGTTGGAACACTTTTACTGTGGGTGGTTCGCGGGTGCTCTGGCGTGGTTTGCTCCTTCTTTCTTATAAAAAAAAACCCTACATGTGTCTTCTATATTTCCCCTCCTTCTATTTTGTGTTTGTTACTCTCTAGTAACACTTCTAATCTTCGGCACTTATATGACCTTATTGTGTTGCACGTGCCGTAAAACTCTTACTAAAACTAAAAACTAACACTTTTACACTCGTTCACTTGACCCATGGGGATACATCATGCCTGGAAACAGAAATTTCTAGAAGTTTAGAAATTAATTTGCCTTTTGTTTCAGATTTTCATAGTGTGTATTACTGGTGGGATTATGTCATAATTTTTGTAGGAGTACTAATAGTAGTAATAGGCATGTATTTTTCTTTTATTCATAGCCCTTATGTTTTGAAATCCTACTGTCTGCTTAAGATTAGAATTAATGAATGAATGATTTTTTTTGGCTTTGAGCTTTCTTTGAAACCTATTCTCATACCTCATTCACTTTTTGTATATGCTTTTCCCCATGGGTCAGTGTTGGATTTGTTCTAAGGTAATTCTTAATTGAATCTGCTTTGATTTATTTAGTTGTTTTCTAAGGAACCTGCAGTATATGCATTTTTTTTCTTTTTTGCTGTCGTTTCTCCTTTGTTCATAACGCTAATATCATTATAAAGTCAGAACTATGTTTTCAGAACGTTTTGGTGATCTACGTATTTAAACTTCGACACAAATTTTCCATTTACCAGATTGTGTGTGATGATTAAGAACTCATTGTATAGAAGTAAAGGGACCAAGAGAAGAGTGGTGATTGTGATTGCTTTTAGTTCGGAGAATATTTGGAGAAAAAGTACATTATTCATTCTGTTTTCGGTTTGAAAACTTGGTTAGACCTAGATCTACTGATATAAATTTGTATTAAAAAGTTAGTTAAGATTTTCTCGTATAATTTGAGTTCGTTTTTTTCTGTTAATACAGGTTTAATTTTTTCCCTTTTAGCTAAAAACAACAACAACTCTCTTCAGTTACCACAATAATATATGATATAACAAAATGAGGTAATTGTCTTGACCAAACTCTCTCAATACTCTCCCCAGGCACGTCACAGTCTGTCACATCAGGTAAGCCTTGTTGCTGTAAGACTAGTAAAAGTGCCAGGTCTGGTAGACAGCGGAACACAACAAGGTCCTTTGTTTAGTTAGGACCTTGAGTTACAATCTACCCATGATTATTGATAGGTCTGGTTTAAAGCTGTTGATGTTATTGCTGTTGTAAATGTTTTAAAGCCTCGATAAATTTTCAAACATTTTGGAGGCTTGGCTGTCTGTCACTGTCTGGATCAATCTGCTCTGTGTTGGATACATCGGAGAAAAAAGGCAGAGATACTTACATAACAGATACATTCCTCTTGTAGGTTTCTTCATACTTACATCTTGTGTGTGCAGGATGAAGGCCTACTGATCCCACTTCTAGTGTCGGTTGTATGCTTTTATATCTCTTTTTACAGGGAAAATTTATTAAAAGGGCGAAGCCTTAGAGTAAATGTCTCTCTGTGATACAACCAGATGAAGTCGTCATTGATATATGTATTATCATTGTAGAGGCTATTATAAGGTTCATTTCTAATGAGGAGCCGTTAGTATTCTTATTGTTTGAAAGATGTAAAGAATACCCAAGATAGCATAGTGCAGCCTCCCTATAACGACATCGTTGAGACCAGAGAAAAATGTCGTTATAGAGAGTTGTCGTTATAGAGAGGCAACGAAAAATTACTAATGATAATGATAAATAAAAAGAAAAAATTGGAATCTGGGAACCATGTCGCTATACGGAGGACATCATTATATTGAAGGTCGTTATAGAGAGGCTACACTGTACCAATGGCAATTATTTGATTTGATCATCAAAGTTCCTTTTATGTCATCTTTGGTGGGGTTTTATCTCGAGCTTCTGACATTTCATCTACTGACTTATGAGAATTTAACCTTCATTTTGTGGACATTATTTTCTCCACCTCCAGCTCAAGGCTGCAGATATCTCAACAAGTACTACAAGATCGGAGAGACATGGACGGAGGGATGTGAGAATGACTGCCAGTGTATTGCACTCAACAGCACACACACAGCCGTGCAGTGTCACAACAAGTGAGTTATGAAGTTATGGCCCCTTTTCTTTGTTTTTGAAGGGGCTGAACAACCCACTTCTCAGCAGAAAGAATACTCTTAATGAATCCAAACAGGTCAAATCTTTGACTTTCTGTTGATTAAATAATTGAGAATAGGAGCTGAGATTGACTCTCATAAAGCACAAGTGAAGGGAAGGCACCAGCGGTAGGTCGCAGTTCTTCTCTTCTCCTCTGTTGTTTCTTTTTGTCTATCTTACTACTTCCTTGCACTAAATGACTGGTGGCTGATGATGAGCTTCAATGTAGTATTGGATGAAGGCGTCACTTCACACACAATAGATAGACTAAGGGAAGCTGGTGTCTCTAGAGGGTCAGGGAGAGATAGTAACCTACTGGGAACAGCCAGAAGAATATCCAACCAGCTGTTAACTTGCACGATCAGCAGGCAGACCCTTTCATGGATCTTGGAGAGGAGGGAGAAGCAGCTATGGCATTGTGCCGCCTGCAATGATGCCTATTCTCCACCAAGTAAGTAAGTTCTCTGTAGTACATTCAAACCAAAAAAGCAAATGTCAGTAAACAGATGTGTCATGCACTGCATTCCTGTGTGTGTTCCAGGTGCCCACAGTACAAGGACGTGCCCAAAAACTGCCAGATGGTGAAGTCGCCGGGAAGTTGCTGCAGCACGCCTGTCTGTTCTGGTAATGATTGACAGATCAGTTGTGAATGAGATTGATTGTATACGTTCATCTAGATACTTTAGGGTTGTGCTGTTTTTCCCCTGATGGTCAGGTCCGCCCACCCAGGGCTGAGTGGGACCCAGCATGTTCAGCTTTAGTAAAAGTTCAACAGCATTTGCAACACAATTTCGTAACATAAGTGCTAAAGATTAAAATCCTTACCAGATCATAACATGCAAATAAAAAAGGACGAGACATTTAAAGTCAGATAGATGTTTGATAGGAAAGAAGGGGCAAACCACACCAGAACACACACTTCCAGCTTCCTATCAGACAGACAGAGACACTTGATAGAATAAACATTTCCACTTGGGAATTTTATTCACACCTTCTGCATGTGGCGACCAAGAGCTTAAACACTATACCACAGATGCTGGGCTGCTCTGAAAAGTCTGTAGGAAATGGAAAAATGATGAGCTCACTGCTTGTTTTAGAAAGAAAAAAGTGCAGACACTAATTGTGTGACATTGTGGTGTAATCAGGCGCTTGTCAAAAGAACTAAATCAAAGAAACATTTTTCTGTTTGTTAGGCAATTTTTAAAAAGAATTTCTGGTTTTGTGCCCAGTACAGTCAGTACCTTGTATGTCCATTTAAAAACATTCTTGCTTGGATTTTACTGATCAAAGGCATAAAAAATGTCCAAGGTCACTACATCTGTACAGCTATGGAAGGCATCAAACTTTGGTGGTCATTCTCTCTGATGGTACAGATAGTTGCTCACATTGCCATCTATGACTATGTGAAGAAAAAAAAAAGATGCTATATAAAAAAACACCTCAACAACACTGAGTTGAGGAAGCAACAAAGTTCCAATTGTGAGGCAGCGTGGTGGAATCAGGCTCTCGTCAAGTTTTGGGCATGTAGAGTTATTGGTATCATCTTAAAGCTTGTTCACTTGTCTTTATTTGGATGAAAAATATATCCAGTTATCTTGAATACAAGTCGAGATATTTGCGAAAGAAGGATGTGGGGGTCACCTGTTTTCAGAAG